GAGCTGAAGGGGAAAACTCTTTATTATGTAAAGCGGACTAACTCAGGCTTTAATGACTCATTGACAAAGGGGGATGGGCAGGAAGCTACAGGAAGCTATTCTGTCTTTTAAAATATGTTTCTTTCTTTTCACATCCAGATAAATATTCTGCCCTTTCAATATTTCCTAGGATATTTCATTTTTCTGGGAGAGGGCTGGGTGATAACTTCCTACACAAGCAAACTAAAAGTCAAACAAACTCTAAACAGGAGTATCCAGCTTTGACAACTTTAAGACTGATGGACTTTAATTCACAGAAGTCCAGTCCCAGAAGTTCATCCTTCATGCTGGCTGGAGAATTCTGGGAGCTGAAATCCACAAGCCTTAAAATTGTCAGAGTTGGACACCCTTGTTCTAAAACAATGGTTCAGTACTGTGGTTTGTCATATAATGGATTTTATCAGAAGCTTTTTCAAGTAAAGCTATAGACCAGGAGTGTCAAACTCAAGGCCCAGGGGCCAGATTTGGCACATGGGGCCACCTTGGAAACAGTAAAGGACTGGTCTGCGGTGCCTCTGCCAGCAAAATTGGAGCTCAAGAGGGCTGCGTGAGGTGCTTCTGAGCTCCATTTTTACTGGCAAAGTGTTGCAGGAGGCTGGCGCAGGCAAAAACAGAGGTCACAAGGGCCATGTGTGGCACTCCCAAACTCTATTTTGACTGACAGAAGGTTGCAGGAGGGCGTCACAGCTGGAAACAGTGCTGAGGATCCCCTTTGTGCTGGCAGAGCACTCGGGCCGCCACAGGCACTGACACAAGTTATGTCAAGCTGGCCACACCCACCCTGGCCACGCCCACCCTGGACTTCCAAGGTCAAACTAATATGGCGCTCAATGAAATTGAGTTTGATACCCCTGCTACAGACTATATCTTTTCAAGCCATCTATCCAAGGAAATATCCAAATATTTCTATTTTGGTGGAGGTGGGGGTTGGCACCTTTGAGTTAGTGACTGTCAGGATAATTCCCTGTAGTTTTCTTGTCAGGCTTTCAAAAGTGGTTTGCCATTGCCTGCTTCCTATGACTGAGAGTGTGTGATTGGCCAAAGGTCACCCAACTATCTTTGTATCTGAGGCAGGATTAGACCTTATGGTCTACCAATTTCTACCCTGATGCCTTTACCACTACACCAAACTGGCTTCCATTGTTCAACTATGATTAATGTGCTGCTAAAAAAAAACCACAATTATTATTTCTCTGCAGTTTCTGATTCTGGCCATCAAATATATATAGCAAATCTAGCTTGAGGCAGAATTGACTTTTTGTCATTGTTGTAATTTAAGACCTTTCTTTAAACACGCTCCTCTGAAAGCCTGATACTTTATCACATTCCCAGTAAAAGTGGAAGAATGTTCCCTTCGGTTTACAGCCTTGCCAGCATCTCACTGAATATTGAGAAGATACATGTGAAATTTCTATTAGGGCTCGGTGCCACCAAAGTACATTTTTACATTTTCTTGTAAATCACTTCTGGTAGATTTATCTGGAAGCTTAATCATAAAGTCTTGATATTTTCACTTTTGAGTGCGTGTAAGAGTGTGTGAAACACTATATGTATGTACTACAGTACTGTACCTCCTATTTAGATAAGGGGAGGAGATCACTGTGTTTTGTTACTACATGATTCAGTTCTGGTCGCCACAATGTAGAACAGATGTGGAGACTCTGGAAAGAGTGCAGAGAAGAGCAACAAAGATGATTAGGGGACTGGAGACTAAAACATATGAAGAACCATTGCAGGAACTGGGTATGTCTAGTTTAATAGAAAGAATGACTAGGGGAGACATGATAGCAGTGTTCCAATATCTCAGGGGCTGCCACAAAGAAGAAGGAGTAAAAACTAGTTTCCAAAGCACCTGAGGGTAGAACAAGAAGCAATGGGTGGAAACTAATCAAGGAGAGAAGCAACTTAGAACTGAGGAGAAATTTCCTGACAGTT